GATAAGGGTAGAAATTCTATTTTGGGACTTCAAGGCTAAAAACATGCCAATGAATAATAATTAGATTAATACTTCAAAAGAGAAGTTATTTTAAGATCTTTCACTTCCATATAAGGAAAGATTAAACGATTTGCTTTGAGTAATAAATAAATTGATGAAGCGTAAGAATACAGAAAAAGCATATGACTGGGACCTCTTCACACTGTTTAATCATCCTATAAAATGCAGAGCGCTAATTTTGGCGTGGCTTTTTGTTGATTATCATGCCTAATAAAAATCCGTCAGCTTAGACGGGATATGTGTCCCCCCTCTCCCGCTTTGGAGAGGGGTTAAACTGCTATTTCACCATCGCAACTTAATAAAAGAAGATTATGCACCACTGGACTCTTCAATCATGTTGCTCTCAATACTGATTTACTAAAAAATCATTAGATATATATATATATATATTAGATATCCCTTGTTAAAAGTAAAAAAAAAAGCAATAAAAGTTCCAAGAAAAAATTTAAGAGATAGTGTAACAAGAGTGTTATCAAAATCTTATAAATAGTCATTTTAAATTCTGTTTGAGTGCCTGAAAAAAAGCGTTCATCGAAAAGAAGAGTTAAAAAGAGATTAAAAACGTTCAAAATCCCTGCTCCTATTCTGTATCTATTAGTTATTACACATACAGATAAACTTCATATATCTTATATCTATACATGTGTGGGGAAAGACCATTAGGCAAAGGCAACCTCCTTCTATCAAAAGGTATCTCAAGATTGCTTCAAGTTAGCATATACTAGTGAATTGATGTTTAATAATCGTAGTGGTAGTTACGCCACAATACTCATCCACCAGAATTTTATCAGGGATAGAATTCGATGAACGGATACCACTATATGCTGTATTTGTGAAAGGCCGGTAGAGCTGGATTAAGGTCACTGGGTTTTTGCACTTTACCCATGAGAGCTGTATTAAGTTCATAGTTGAGCGTGAGGACTCTCCTGTTTTGCTATTGATACAACTATTGATATGACTTTAGTATGTATCATGTTAATTAGAGTTAAAATCCATTACACATATTAAAGTTTATTTAAGATTTTAATGATTAAAATTTTCTTGATTACGATTGATTCCATTACACTGAGGAACACAATAAGGGGGGGGGGGGAGAAACTAAGACTACTCACCAGGGCGTCATGTCTATTCGATTCAACTGTCGTACTCCAAGACAACGCTTCAACTGACTCCTAAAAGGATGCAAACCCCTACAGTAAGAGGGAACTTCGCCAAACTCACCCTTTGGCTCACTTTATCGAAGTTTTTGGCGCACTTACTATTTTGAGTCTCCTTGCTCTCCATCACTATTAGCAGTCGAGTGTGTGCAGTATCTCGTTGAGTGTAAATGAGACTATGAAGCAATCGCTCTAGGAGGACGATGACGCAGTCACAAATAGCAAGTCAACTATTCAATGTGGACCATACATCGAAGGAGTCGTGATCATATCATGTCCGCAGGTCACCAATGTAGAGGAAGACCATTTGACAATGTCAATCTTCACCTATCAAAGAGTACCTCAAAATTGAATCAAGTTAGCATGTCTTATGTACTACACTGCTAAAAATTACGAGCCACATGGCACCAAAAATCGGTATTCATTTGCTGACTACATAAAATGGAGTTCAGTTTTACCATATTTTGGGATTTAAAATAGCTCCAAATATCAGTTGAAGGTTGCACCAAAAGTAAGTGTTTTGAAGAAACAAAACGCCGATTTTCATTCTTTTTTTTCCTTTATAAAAGCAGAGGAAAGTTTCACCATTATTAGGTATTTTTAAAGAGCTCAAATGCAAGCCAAGGTAGCTATTTACCGTAACAAAACTATTTACCGGAAGTATGTTATTTTATGACATACTTCTGACCATTTTATTCAGCCCACCAAATTTAGAAATTCAGCATAAAAGAAATGAACTCTAATTAATGCAAATAAAACATTTATCTACCTAAATAAGTTGATACTTGAAACAACATGAATTAGTCGTCCCGAAATACCAAAACCGAGTTGCAAAGAAAACATGGCGTCGTAAACAACTATGGTTCAGTTTACAGTCACCATCAAAGTTTTACGTCCTTTACCAAATTTTGGTGCTGTCAGTTGTACCGTGGATGTATTTTTCGATCATACTTCACAATTTATGGTGTAACTAAAATGAAATGATCTTCTTTTTAACTAAATTTTGGGATAATGAGAACCTTTGCACCAAGTACTGGTTAAAGATTTACTAAGTTGTTTTACAGTGTAGTGGTAGTTACGCCACATTGTAACCATGACAGCGCACAATTGAAAATATGGAAAAACAGATAAACAAGTTCTCAATATTGCATGCGAACAACTCAACGTAGAAGGAGGCAAATAAATGTAAAATGTGATTAAATAAATATGAGTGATATGTAACAAGAATACCGCACCTATCGGTGATACAACTCTAAAGATCTTAAGGAAAGTTTAATCAGTATTAATGGGTTTTAGCAATAAAATTTTGTATTTTAGATACTGCTACTGAGCTACACAACTCCGGAATGTGGTGATTGTTTAAAAGCTGAAGAAAAAACAACATCAAAGTCGCTGTTCCATTTGCCAGCTATTAGTGATTACACATACAGATAAACTTCATATATCTTCTATATATACATGTATTTAGAGCAACTTGTATGTTTTAAAAAGTATTATCCACAGATGAAAATTTCGATAAAGCACACTTTCAAATTTTGCAATGGAACACTAGAGTCTCTAGAACACTAGAAATGTATTGATTGCTTGCACGCGTGCTATGTCTAGTTCCTCTCTCTAGATTTAGTCCCTAAATCTAGATTTAGTCCCTAAAAAGACTACTAGAGTTTAATGGAGAAAAATTTGAATTAAAAATATTTTTTATTTGAGGCACACAAGCCAGTTGCAACTTATTAAAAATTTATATTCCTGAATAACCTTTCACGCTATAATAAGGTAAGTAACTGAACTTTGTGTGTGAATCATATAAATTAAATATTTGTTGGAATGAAAACTTTAAGTCGAGTTGCTTATGATTAAACCCATTTTAAGTATACATATGTGCAGCATATATAATTTAACAGGAATATATAGACTAAAAAAAAGATAGTAATGAAAGATAAGACTATAGGGTTATAAGAAAGTGAGTTCGTGTTCTAAATACATTTAGGTTTAATCTACAGTGCAATGAAATTTGTGATAAGACATTAATGATGCAAATTATATTTATCAATTTTATTTTTTGATTTGCAATTTTTAAAACGTAACAGAGCCCTATAATGTTTTATTGTAAAGTTAAATTTTAAATGCGCAATGTTACGCAATTTAGTTTAACAAACACATAATTGTATTTCAATATCAGCACAATTAACTTTTGATTCAATAATTATAAGTTATTGAGAAATCAAATATTGTTTTGTTTAAAAGTAATATTGATATTTTCATTTGAAGGCATATCAACAGATATTTGGACCTTACGAAAATAAGCCTTTTTATCAGTGTATTGCACAGCATCTGCAGCCAAAAAGCAGAGGATATGTAAAGTTAAACTCCACAAATCCTTATGACCCACCAATCATTAATCCTAATTATTACGATGATCCACAAGATCTTAGGGACGTTGTTGAAGGTAAGGATTTTTCGCTTTTCATAACTTTAGGTGCTATTTAACTGCACGGTGTGCAAAATAAAGTACGTCATCAAACTCATAATAAATTGAAAGAGTTAAATGGGTCAATCACTTTCAATGAGGCGAACCGGGTTCGAATTCCGTATCCGGCTTGCATCGACCACAGTGCTGACGTGAAATATCCTCAGTGGTAGACGGATCATGGGTTACTGTACGATTTCATGATACAATTATTATATAGATAGATAAATAGCGGAGCCATAAGATTGATTGTGGTAATTTTCAAATATTATGAGTTACCTGGAACAACAGTATTATACCAGATAATACTGAATACAGTTAATCTTAATTTTGATAGGATGGACTGAAAAGCGAAATTAATGGAGAAATGGAACTAATTCGTTACGGTGCACAGCAAAAAGTTGTCATACTATTGCTCACATCTATGATGCATAATTTTGTTAATTTGTAATGGTAATGCGTGCAGTTTTAATAGGTTCCAAATATGCTTTTATATTGGTACAACGTGTTTTGGAGTAAATTTGGTACCAATTACAGCTGCACCAATGCTGTACATTTTTATGATTATCATTTCTATATAACAAATTTATCACCATATGATAAATTTGTTTTATAGATACATATGTACATGAGAAAGTAGCTTGACTGTGGTAAATTTTTAACAATTAATTTTTAATTATTGCAGGACTAAGAGTTTGTTACAAGATCGGAACTAGCAGAGCAATGCGAAAAATTGGATCAAAACCTTTTGCTACAGTTTTTCCAGGCTGCGAAAGGTTTTCGCTGAATAGTGACGAATATTTCGCGTGCATGGCAAGATCATTGGCCCTCACCATAAGTCATTATGTTGGAACTGCGAAAATGGGTGCTGTAGACGATCCAAGAACAGTAGTAGATCCTCAATTGAAGTAAATTTTTCTTTTGAGTTTACTTTCATAAATAAAAAATAAAGTAATGATGAAAATTAAAAAAAAAACATTTGGTTAGTCAAAATATTTTTTCTTGCAGTACTCTATATCCTGCTTATAAAGGTTGTCCCAATATTCAAGCAAAATTTGAATTAAAATTTAGCAGTGGTTCAGATATTAAATGTTGCTATCATTTTGAGCATTGTTGAGTCATTTCCAAGTAGTTTAAATTGTTGTTTTGAATAAGAATTGGCAGCTCAGATTATGGTATCAGACCTTTGTTTTATTTAGTCGTCTAAGGCTTATAGCTCTAAGTTTATAACCAACCCAAGCCATGAATGCAGAAAACGATAGCTGGATAACGAGATTCAAACCCAGTTATAATCAATCATACTAAAATTAATTCAAACTAGGCTTAACAGAGTAAATGAGAAAATAAATGAAATATTTTAAAATCATTCAACATAATTGACAGATATTTAACAATTAAAATATAATTATTCTTATAAAACTGAAGGTATATTTTGAAGCCGTGAACTTTTGTTTCGGTAGATATTTTATAGCATAGAAGAGAATAATAATATCCTGCCGATTGCAAACAATCTACAATCGATGTGCAAAGTTTGCTAAAATTGGTGTTTTCGGAAAGGAAAATAATTCAAAATGGCGTGAATGTGCGGAGCTTGGTTTGCGATTTCTTCTTTATTAGTGTTTATGTTAGACATATCTTTTCAAGTTATATATGAATGTTTAATTTAATGTCAACGTGAAATAAAGTGATTTTTAGCAAGTTCTTTTAGCCACTCAAAATTCGAAGAGATACAGATATTATAGAGTCGAGTATAAGTCGGAGTCAAAAACTTTAACTACAACTTCATAGCTTTGGTATAGGCTGTTCATAGACTATTGCGACTTCAGTAGTCACTACAGTCTTTTCTGGTTGAGAGTTCTATCTAAAGAATGATGACAAAATGTTTGGTATTATTTACTGTTATTCCTTTTGTTGTAGAAATGGTGTAGTAGAAATGGGTACTGTAATCGATCCTAAAACAGTAATTGATCCTCAATTGAAGTAGTTTCTTATTTTTTGTTTACTTGAAAAAATTTGGATAACTTTCGGTACTATTGTCTTTAAAAACTGAGCAATTCTTTTCTGCTGCCTATGAGCCTATTCCAACATGAGCCTATTCCAACTGAAATATTTGAACAATAGTCTGTGAATTTTATCCTCAGATTGTACCATGCTGTTGCTTCAAGTGGTGGTTATTTTGCAACACAAAATTGTTTCATAGTTTATTTTTATATAGCTTATATGTTTTATGATTGTTTATCATAGTTAATAGTTTTATTAGTTGGCAACTGTATCTGTTAACGAATTTAATGCTGATATTTGGTGAGAAGAGACTGATAGCTAACTAATCAAAACGCAGAAAATCCCACAATTATATCTCTTTTCTTTCTGTTTTTGATCGGTGGTAATTTTCAGGATATTGGGATATACGACCCGTTTTCATTTCTTTTATTTATAACTTCGGATTCGTCTATCATTAATTAGAATGATTTTCACTCATCATCAAATCAAGAATTTCTCTATACTATTATTGAAACATTTTTCGTACAAACTCTTATGCGTGGTTTCCTTATTCGAATATGGTAAGCCTATGCCAATTCAAAAATCATCGAAAAGAAAATTGCTCAACATAATTCTAGAGATGCAGAAATTCTGAGCAGCATTAAAAATCTTTTTCTGACTAACTTTTTTATTGAAAATATTTTCTGTGACTTATTATATTCAACAAGATAGGCATCTAAAAACACAGCTGTATAACAAAACAATGATATTTGATTTTAGATAATATCTGTATCTGAAATTGGATTTTATCTCAGCTATTTGTTTAATTTAATTGGTTTTCGTGATCTGTTTTCATCAGGAATTTCTTCTTATTTATTCCGATCGGAAAGCTAAGAATCCAAATAAAATTGCTTTTAGCCTGAATATCACTTGAAACGATAAGTCTGAAAATAAATGTAATAAAAATGTCCTTTTTTCAAAAAAAAAACTTATTTGGTGCATAGTAAAAGAATTGATTATCCCGGCACTATTTTGATGCTTGCTTCTCAGAGTAATGCAATACTTTCCCTTCCTTTAACTTCCAGAAATAAAAAAAATATTAAAATTACAAAAATGTTCCTATGACTCACGCGCACGAAAAAGACGCTCGCAGTACATAAAGAAACCTTTATTAAAAAAAATCCCCAACTTTTTGTATACGTTGGAAAGCATTATTAACAGAAATAAAAAAGATCAGATCTGAGAAATAAAAAAAAATTGTTCCATTATCAGGCTCCGAACACCTAATGCCTATCAACAAGACTTAATCGACTGTTTCAGTAATGTTTCAGTGATGCATCCGTTTAATGTCATCATCAAATTAATTGTCACCAGTGCAATTATTTAAATGTTTCTGAAACTTCTGATGTATGTAACATCAAATTGTTTGTTACTCTTTAATAATAAATATTTATTAGTTATTGAAACAGAAGAGTGCAGATTGTACATGAGTGTGAGTTAGGTAAAATGTACAGGATGTTTACTAAAATTTGCGTAAGAAGTATATATTGCTAAAAATACAGTTTTTCATTTAAAATTTGAAATTTTTTGAATTTGCGAAGTATGTGATCTAGCTTTATGAGAGAAATAGTATATCGGAAAATGGAAATGGGGAGCTTCGTAAAATACTCTCGTTTTGGTTGAAATTTTCAATGATCTGTTTTCATAAATGGGGCTAAATTTAGTTGATATGATATTTGATTTCATCTGTCGAAGCGTGGGTATTCGGGAACATTCAGGCATAAGTCTTAAACTTCAAAAAAAAAAAAAAAAATGCTAATCAGCTTCAAATTGTATGTATTATTTGGGAGCTGAGCCCCCTGTTCACCGTCGCTCAATAACACTGAATATTTCTTTTTAATAATTGTTAATTTTTGGCATATAAGAGTTTTTTTTAAAAAAGAAACTTGATATTATTCGCTTAAAATGTATGTACACCCACACAAAAAATTGTAACCTTACTCTTGTGCTCTCACTTTCCAAGTTGAAATATTTCTCTTATGATTCTTTTAAGATCTATTAGTAAACAAGAGTGATTTGTCTAAGAAATCATATTTAAAAATAACATTTAAAATTAAAAGTGCATTGTTATAACAAATTTGGTAAGTTTACAATAATTTATAATTTTCGCTCACCAAACTGACGGATATATAAAATACAATTTTTGCATGCACAGCACTGTGAATGAGGCTGATCGTTAAGTTCTAAATCATTTAACAAATCTCTCCAACTGTAATTAATAATAGTATATAAATATAATTTAGGTAAAAAATAATAATCATAAAATGGATAATAAGATTAGACTCCGATTTAAATAACTTTATTTCAGAATGTAGGGCTGAGTTACGTCATAAAATTATTATTAATAATAATAATAAAAAAATTATCTTAGTTTCAAGCTATTAATTTAGAAAACATTTAAAAACAAAACCGTAATAATAGCAGTACAAGTAAATACCGTAGGTCAGTGTTTCTCAAAGTGTGGTACAAATTGTTCCCGTACCCCCAGGGGTACGGGAACAATTTAGCGGGGGTACGAGTTCTTATGTGAAATATTTTGAAAGAAACGAAAATTCCAAAATTTTTTATTTAAAAGCAAAGCGAATAGGCTATTTTTTGCAAAGTTAACAGTTAATAATTAGTGGTGACCATAGCCAGTTGTAATTTTTAACTTTTGTGCAATTTTTTTATAGTAAAAATTACATTCATTTTTTTATTAGTGGTACACAGCGTTACGAGAAATTTAGAAATGGTACAGAAAAGTCATAAGTTTGTGAAGCACTGCCTTAGGGATACAGAATTAGGGATACAAAAATATTTATAGGAAAACAGTACTGTTATGAAATTTACGCTTATGACAACCAAAACAATACAGAAATCGATGCAGGAAAACTGGATCTTACCATGTGATTTTATGGCAAATAAAAATGCATCGATAACTACGGAGAATTGTGTTTGACCATTATGTTTTTATGTTACATAGAGTTATGGAATCTCATAGGCCAGATCTGTTCACCAAAACTCGAAATATAAGACCTAGAAAGAAACAATGTTGAAAGTATCATTTAACATTAAAAAGTAAATTTTTTATTAATTTTTAATAAGCCTGAAGTATTAGTGGGACTGGAAAGTAGCGTCGTTTCGGTGCATTTGATATTTGCTATCAAGATCAAGATTATTTTCAATTAATAATGTATTCACCCTCGTTAGTAGCAACCTTTCAAAGCCTGATTGAAAATTAATCGAAATGGCTCGAAAAAAATAGGTTGGTTTTTAAGACTAACTAATATTTAGTGCTCCTAAAGTGACATTAATTTCCGGTTCACCTAATACTAAATGTTAATGACAGTCGCTCTTTATGCTTTTTTTTGTTAGAAATACTTTGAACACGCATTTTCGGTAAAAAATTAAATTGCGAAAAAACTTCATACATAAAATTCATGAATTTTAGGTAATTTTTTTATAAAATAAGTTAAGAAAAATTATAATTCAAGAATTTAATCCTAAATATAAACTAAATTAGACCCTGAGTAAAAATTTTTTTTACTAAAATTAAATCATCAGTATAAAATTTAGTGAAAAAGATGAAGTTTCAGAAAAACTTACTCAAATGATTATTGTAAAAACGAGCTTCTTGTAGAATTAAAAACTACATGTCAAACTTTCAAAACTTTCAAACTATTAAAAAGCTAACAATAACTATTGGTTATGGTATATTTGTTAAGCTTGAAAAGCTTATTACATTCTCGTTAAATGAAATTGGAAATAACATATATTTCGTTCTTATTTGTTCTTCTTCATATTTCAGGGTGAAGGGTATCAGGGGTCTTCGTGTGGTGGATGCGTCTGTGTTTCCCATTCTAACATCTGGAAACACGAACACTCCAACAATTATGGTGGCAGAAAAAGCTGCAGACATGATTAAAGCGAGTACTAATTGCTAGAGACGCATTTCAATGGTTTAATCCAGATTTGGTTTCACAGAGTTAGTTACCTATTCTATTAGCATAAAATTGAAGTCTAATAAATTTGCTTGCTCTCCAATCCAGCTTTGACTGTATAATTTAATTTTATAAATTCCTATTTAAATTTTCACAATAAGTAAAAACTCGTTAAGTGTTTCTCGTAAAACATATTACTTAGTGAAGTGTGTGAAAGTAATTCCTAAAAATGTTTCGCAATTTTGTATTCGTTGCTTTAATAGACGCAATCTTACATTAAAATTTCTGATGAAAGAAAATCTAACTTATTCTTTCTTTAATATGTGTAAAACGGTTAAAAAGTTAGACTCAGTTTTAATTGTATTTATTCGTAAAAGTTGCGGAATAAGGGAATATACATAGTATTACTTTATAATAAAATAATACCACTTTAAGTTGTTAATCTTTTATTATGAGTTAATAATCAAAGTTAAATACTAATGAATGCAGAGAATAATACTAAGTAAAGGTGATAAATATATTGCAAGAAAAGACCTTTAAATAGTTCATATCGAATTATTTAAAGGGTATCAAATATCCTTTATTAATTTCATACCATTTGGATCATCTTGGTTAATTATGGTATTTTGGTATATGGTATTATGGTATTTGGTATATATGGTATCGGCTTGGTAATTTTATGTGATTTGCTAACCAATCAGAATGTGCCAAAAACATCGTAACAAGCCTGAAAAAAATGCTTGTTAAATTTACGCCATTCCTGAAGTTAATAACCTCCCCTGGTAGCAAAAAAGATATTATCTAATATTGGAAAGATGCAATATAATATTGCCGTGCTAGAAACCGCTAGATTCTTGAATCTTATCTTCGAATATTAAAATTAATATTATATAAGATTAAATAGTATTCGATCTAATATTCAAACTTTCAAAATTATCATCTATTTCATTAGTTTTGCACCAGATCCACTGTTTTGCAAAAGGGCATCCCATATTATTAATAAATATTTATTTATGAAAGAAAACAATAAATTAAATGTTCCTTAAAATATTATTTTTAGCCAATGCAATTTTATGCCAGAGAACACAAGAAAATATAAACAGAAGTAAACTGTTTTCGCGAACGATATAAATCTGGAAAAACTTTTTAAACTGTCAAGTTGTAACTCTTCACGATTGTTTACATCGACATAGTTCCATCGTCGCCATGGTTCGTGGTCGGCAGCTGAATGAATTTTACAACTTCAAAGGTATTTATAATTTAGTAGTTATTTAGTAAACTTTATAAATTTCAATGATAGATACTTAATGCCCTAAAATAGTATCGTAGGTAGTGTTTTCCCTTTGGTTAAAAATTAGCTGGAAAAGTAATATAAAGCACTTCAATGTATTATTTGTTATAGAGAGGATGAGAATGTAGAAACTTTTAGTGTACTTAATAACTTTTACAGCTTAATTAAAAAATTCACGAATTATTTTAATGATCATGTATCTAATAAAGTTAGTGAATATTATGATTGTGCTAATTCTTTACTACGTATTGTCTAACTATAAATAATAAGTATTGTAGTTAGTTTAGAATAGGCTCGTAAAAACAATGTTTACTTGGTTATTCGCATTTGACAGAATTTCTCTGCAACAATGATTAAAATAAAAAATAATTTTTGGTAAACAAGCTTGCCATGTTAAAATAATTATTAATTTATCGGCTACTTTTCAGTTATAACCATGACATTTTAGAATGTTTGAAATTTTATTCATAAGACAAACACTATTGTTACTTTATTAAAATTTCCTGATTAAAATACTGTAAAATAATGAGTTAAACATCTTTATTTTCATTTCTTGAACATCGACCAATTTGCATATTTTTGATTCATCATTATTTATATTAATGTTTAAATGATAACAAATGATTAAAAAATAAACAGCAATATGGTCTATTCAAAGTGTGTTTACGTTGAATAAAGAGCAGTACTGAAAAGGAGCTACAGTTTTTATTCAGGAAGTTTTACAAAAAAATGTGATCATTTCCTATCGGCTCCATTAGCTTGTGCAATGTACAATGTATTTTGATAGTTAAGTGTCATTGGGCTTTATCTTTAAAAAAATTAAAAAGTATTGAATTTGTGATATTTTTGTATCAGTATATACTAGAATGTTCACTTCAAGTAAAAAGGGCTTAAGGGTTTTGTACTATAATTTCTTTTCTCTCTTTCATTTTTATTTTTAAAGAAAGAATAAAAATTTTACCTGAGAACTGTTATAAATGAAATATTTTTCAATTCTCGCGTGGTGTTACCGAGATTTTCTGGCGCAGGTAGTGATACGGAAATCTACCCGTTAAATTTTAGACATTTCCAAATTAAATGATTAAAGTTTCAAATAAATATTCAATGCTTAATAGTTTTAAATTTAGTTTTAACTAATTTACTGTTTTCAATGTAAAGTACTGTAAAGTTTCATATTTAGTGATTTCAATGTAAAGTTTAACTTCCTTTCTTATATAATTTTAGCTTCGTCTGCTGGATTAACAAGTTAATCTACCAGGAAGGAACAATTCAATTTTGAGATCGGATCCTGACAAGAATTTGGATCTTGACGAAAGGCAGAGCAACTGGTGTGTATATGCTGCTAGGTCCACTTTAAATCTGTCGGAGTTGAGAGTTTATTTGTTTGTTGTTGTGTTGAGTAGAAGTTTGAAGAAAGGCGCATACCTGTGTGATTCACCCCTACTGTGTGTGTTTGTGTCATCTGCACATTATTAACTGTTGCTGATAATTTTATAAAAACTTTCAAAAAAGCATTTAATGATTTCTCGGTTTATCGGTTTGAAATATAGTTGCAAGTAAACAAATACTTGCAATTGAAGGAATAAAACTGTATGAAATGGCTGTTAAAGTCCTCTTGTTGGCCTTAAACATTCAGGAAGTTACGGGAGAGATACGTTATGTGATTCATACCTGCTGTGTGTGCTCCTGTGGTATACACATTGTTAACGGTTGCTGACTATTTTATAAAATCTTTCAATAAAGCAAAGATTCCCCAGTTTATTGCTCTGAAATAAAGTTGCAGGTAAAAAAAAATTGCAATTGAAGAAAAAAAAAACTTTAAACTGCGTGAAATGACTGCAAAGTTTTGGAATTTTTTTTCATTTAAAAATAATAATAAATAAAATGATAGCACATATATAATAGAATATGTTTGTGCAAATTTAATTTGGATAAAACTTAATATTTACTGACTGTTTTGAATTTAAAACGTTTTGTAAATGTTTTGCTAAGATTGTTGGTTTAGTACACCTTTAAGTAATTATCGAATTGAGGAAAATTTATGATGTTCAAACATAAAGTAACTTTTACATGATAAAAAATTATTGGCAATTTTCATAATATTAGATGCTTTCCTAGTTTTACTCCCTGGAAAAATTTCAGCGTTGCGTATAGGATTTTTTTAGGTGTTTTGTTAAAGAAAATTTCAGATACTAAAAGAATAAAGTTACGCAAGTATTTCTCTATTTCATTTAAATGAAAAAAGAAGTGGAAGAAAATATTTCTAGATGTAAGTTATTTGAATATTTTCGAATTATGTTTTTTATTGTGCCAATTATTACGAAAAATGACAACTTAAAAATTGAATTTTATTTTAGGATTTTAAGGAAAAAAAATTAAAGTTAAAATTTTCTCTCAATTCAAATGTATATATAACATTATAATTATATAGTGGGGTTTTTATTATATAATTTCAGAATATAAATAATGAATGATACTGTGTAATGATATAAAATTAATGATATAAAATTAATGATATAAAATTATTAATGATATAAAATTCGTAAAAAAACTCATTGCATGAAGAAAAAAAATATCAATAAAAGTTGCGATATAGAATATATAGTTTTTTAATTAAGCTTAAAATATTCAAAAAAATTCAGCTAAAGATAAGATAATACTTTAACATAAAATAACAAACATAAGATAATACTGATATACTTTGGAGTAAGAGGGAGGAAAATGGATGGTAGCAGAATTCGCTGATATAATTTTATTTAGTATTTCGGTATTGCTAAGTAAATAATGCATGGAATAACATTATAAAACTATTGATCTATGTTTTACTGCCTCACAGCAATACAGAAAATTAAGTAAAATTATATCGCCGAATTATTCTACTACCATCATAATCTTGCTCTTGCTTACTCTAAAACTAAAAAGCAACGCGAAATAATATCAGAAAATACAAAATCTATATTATATAGCATCAAAACTAAAGCAAAATAATATTACAGTTAACGCTAGATAATATTAGTTTGCATAAAATCTAATACTACATAATGCAGAGCAAACAGTGACCTTTTGTATCTTTCTGATATTAGAAGTTAAGCAAGATTACGTTAAATTTTACTGATTTTCTGATGTTATATAATGTCAGGTGGTTCTTGGGTCACCTTGCAAGGATAGGCAAAAAATTATCCCATGACACACAGAGTCAATCACGCGCCTGAATTTCTGTTTGATTTAGCAAAGATTTGATCAAGATTCATCAGATATGATTTGATTTTATCTGATTTTTTTAAGTTTCCTTCACTTGACAAATCTTGACTAGAAGCAGGCTAGGAGAAATGCAGCTGAAAAATTAGAATTTCTCACCTCTTGTGACGTCACTCGCCTGATGTCTTTCTTTGTGTAAATAAGGACTACGGTTAAGGAAATAGTATCTTTTTTTTTAAATACGATATTCTCGGGACACAATTATTCCTTCATGTGTGAATTTTTGTTTTTTTATGAGTAAATTTTGATTCTTTATGAGTTTCATTGGTCAAAATATTAAAAGCACGCTCTACAATAGAAAGAAAATATTATGTCAGTGTTAATACGTCTTAAACGAATATGAAATAATTAATTAACAACTCTGCCCTAAGTCGCTATCTATGAGAAATATTATCAAGATAACTTCTCCCGATGCTCTTCTTGCCCCCCCCCCACTATTATCTTCGCCCAATTCATTACAAATTAAGCACTTCGAGCCTTGGTGGCTCAGGGGATAGAGCGTTCGCCTTCCAATGAGGTGAAACGGATTCGAATCCTAGAGATGGCTGATCCTA